ACACACACACACAGACACAGACACACAGACACAGACACAGACACACAGACACACACAGACACACACACACAGACACAGACACACAGACACAGACACAGACACACAGACACACACAGACACACACACACAGACACAGACACACAGACACAGACACAGACACACAGACACACACAGACACACACACACAGACACAGACACACAGACACAGACACAGACACACAGACACACACAGACACACACACACAGACACAGACACACAGACACAGACACAGACACACAGACACACACAGACACACACACACAGACACAGACACACAGACACAGACACAGACACACAGACACACACAGACACACACACACAGACACAGACACACAGACACAGACACAGACACACAGACACACACAGACACACACACACAGACACAGACACACAGACACAGACACAGACACACAGACACACACAGACACACACACACAGACACAGACACACAGACACAGACACAGACACACAGACACACACAGACACACACACACAGACACAGACACACAGACACAGACACAGACACACAGACACACACAGACACACACACACAGACACAGACACACAGACACAGACACAGACACACAGACACACACAGACACACACACACAGACACAGACACACAGACACAGACACAGACACACAGACACACACAGACACACACACACAGACACAGACACACAGACACAGACACAGACACACACACACACACACACACACACAGCTTTCCTGCTGGCATTTCCTCCTGGCCACCTCTCTCGCAGCCTTTGAGCCTGGTCAGTGCTGCACTATTAACATTTCCCCAGGTGTGGCTTTGGGCACAATGAGCTCTCTGTGTGCTGCTGCAGCCCTGAAGAGGGGATGAACCCCCAGAGAGGGGCTTTGTCCCTCTGCTAGTGATTAACCCCCTGGCTGCTTTATTTGCTCGTCATTTTTATTGCCCTGCAGCTAAACCTCTTGAACTACCTGCCCTTTTGTGTGGCTGAGATGTTCTCCCCTCTCACCTCGGTCCTTTCTGGATCTGATTTTGCTTCCATGCATCCTTCGCTGCCCTTCCTTGCATCTTTCCCGTATTTTATTGGGGGGGGGTAGGAAAGCCAAACGACTGCTTGGCAGGGAAATGGGGATTAATTGGAATATTCCAGAGTGTTCTGGTTCACGCTTGAAGGGTGAGGGTTGTTTTGGGGAGGATTTCTGGGAAGGGATTCTCTACTGGAGACAGATTATACTGGAGAGTCTCGCTCCGAAGCAGAGCTGACCTGGCAGGATCTGCCGTGGCTTTATGGAGAACACAAGTGCTCAAGCTTGGTGTTTTCAGCCTCTTTCAATAGTTTTCCTATTCAATATCAATCTCCCTTACATCTCCTCTGAATAGGCAGATTGAAATGCTGGTGTTTTCCTGCTCTGGTATGAGAAGTCATTTCCTCTGAATGACATTAAAATGCCTGCCTGGAGTAACACTCAAGCCTTTCTTGGATCAGGACTGCTGTGTCTCTTTTAAGTCTCCTCCCTGAAAAGGGGAGGGAAAAAAAAAAAAAAAGAATTTGGCTTTTGCATCTGAAACAAATTAAAGTTTCATTTTTTCCCCAATCCTATTCACTTGTTTAGGGCGTCTCCCATGAAACAATTGCCAGCAGCCACCACTTCAGTTATGGAAGAAAACTTTCCTAATGGTCATTTTATGCTCTCCAGAGTTTCCTTTCATTACAGAAACTCTTTTGTTTGCACATAGGATAGGTAATCAAAAGTGTGAGGTGACTTCACCTTTATCACAGAGCACCATTAATCCTTATTTACTAAATCCTGGTGTTTAACAGTGGTTGTGTGGATCAGAAGAGGGAAAGAACTGTCATGTTTCCTGTCATTCACTCACAACTTGCAGTGGAAGGTCTGTATTTTGCTTGACTAACTCTCCATAAAGGCACTTCTGGGAAGCTGCAGTACAAAGCTGGCTTGACAACAGTTGCTGTTACCAAAAAAACCTGCCCAGAAGTGCCTGATTCTGGAGATTTGGGGGATTTTCAGTGGTCTCTGCACACAGAACCCTCTGCTGAGGGGTACTGTGCTGGGTCAGATAAAACCAAGAGCTGGGATTATTAATGTCAGCTGCAAGATACCAACTCCTTCCATGCTTTGTCTGCCACATGTGCCACTGTTCAGTCTTACAGTAATCCAAATAACCAGATTTTTGTACCATGGTGAAAAATAAACTTTTTGAGGAGGGCAGTTACCACTGTTCAGCTTTCTTTTGTCAAGGAATTTGTTTTGAATGTGCATTGCCCCTGTGTTTTTCTTCAGCTTGGGTAGCAGTAAATTCCTGAAAATCTGGATGTAGGAGATTCCTAGTCCTGTGATTCCTCGTAAAACTCTCTCCTTGATACATAAACAATTTTCCTTGTTGCTACTTGTGCCCATTTCTTTTTGTCCCATTGCTGTGCACCTCTGGGCAAAGCCTGACTCTGTGTTATCCCATGAAGCCCCTGAAAACAGCACTTAAATTCCCTCTCACTCCAGTTTTATTTTAGCCTGACACAACTGGATTTGTCCAGATGTCTCACATGCTCCAGCCCCCCCATCTCCTCTCCTCTGGACCTGCTTGTCAAGGTCTGTGTTTAACAGGGCAGCCCAATGCTGCACACAGCTGTGGTCTCATAAATGCCCAATAACAGGGATAATGAATTATTTTAAGGTGTTTGCTGTATTCTTGCTGGCACAGGCAGGTATTTGGCTGAGTTGGTTGCTGCATGGACGTGACCAGAGAGAGGGGAGAAGAGGCACATTTGGTGCTGTCAGGAATAAAGAGGTGGATTTTATCTGCAGAGGTGCTGGGTGCAGGATTGTTTCCAGCCTGGCTCTGAGAACCTGCAGGGTCTGAGCTGAAATCCTCAGCAGATGGGGATGTGCTGGTGACTCAGCCATGGGGACAGAAGGTGATGGGAGAGGTGAAACAGCCAGAGGAACTGGAAATGAAAACTGAACTCAGTGGATTTGAATGGTGCTAGGACAGGCCAGTGTTGTGTCACAGGGTCACGGACTGGCTTGGGTTGGAAAGGACCTTAAAGCCCATCCCAGGCTTCTCCAAGCCCCATCCAGCCTGGCCTTGGACACTTCCAGGGATCCAGGGCACCCACAGCTTCTCTGGGCACCCTGTGCCAGGGCCTCAGCACCCTCCCAGGGAAGGATTGAACATCCAGGAAAGAGAAACCCTGTGCTGTTAAAGCAGCAGAGTTTGAAACAGTGCTGCTGCTGCAGTTGGAACAAGTCACCTTTAGATAAGCAAGGCTTGGACATCCCTGATTCCATGTGATTGTGAGCAACTCCATCCCAGTAACTCATGGGGGTTCACTGAAATGTCTTTTGCAAGAGCTGAAGAAGAGAGAAATAAGCTTGGAGTGCTCCCCATGATTTTAAGGAAGGGGTTGGAGAGTGTTTCCAGTTTTTAATTAATGTGGAAAAATGTAAGGGTTTGTCTGTACCTGAAGGTACACATGATGTGTATACATGATGTGTGTGTATATGCTTATTAATGTCTATAAATACACATTTTATGCATGCTCCTCATATTGTTCATATTATTCATATGCAAATATACAGAAAAACCCTTTGCCATCTCCAGCTGGAACCTTGTCCAGGAGTAAAAAGACTTCCCTTACTTGTCCTGTGCCCCAAGTCCTTGTGCTCTGGCAGGGACTGTGTGAGGGCAAGGATGGCGTGTGCCGTGCCTGCAGCCAGACCTGAGCTCTGCCATTGATGAGGGCAGAGAAATGAAGTGGAGAAAGGTGAAATGTGCAGAGAAGAGGGGCTGTTAGCTCAGGATAATGGCTCTAAATCGTGTCAGGGAGTGCCAGGCCCAGTGGCAGTGCCACAGCATCAAAGGTGTGTGTGATCACAGCACTGTCACCAGGCTCCTCGGGGATTGCTTTGCTCCTGACTGTGAAATGTGGCTTTTCTGGGAATGGAGGCACCTGTCACAAAACCTGCTCTAAGACTGGATTCCATAGAATACTGCTGATAAATCCCCAGAAAAAAGCCAATTTTAGTAGACCACTGGCACTGGAAAAATACTACATTTGGCTTTTTCCTACTTTTTTTTGTCTGAAAATGTTTACCAGCTCCCATCCGGAGCAGAAATGCTGAGGACTTAGAATCTGGAAGAAATCTTGCCAGGATAGTGTATTTTTAAAATTTTTTGGTTTTTTTTTTTGTTTTTTTTCTTTTTTGAGGAGGGTTTGGGCTATGTTCTTCACAGTTCATATGCCTGCTTTCATTTCCAGACTTCTCATACATTTCTGTTCCTGTAAACCTGAACCAGGATTCATTCATTTGAAGAGCTTGCTGATAGGCAGAGTGCAATATAGGGGAGAGAGCTCTTGTCCAGCAACAGTCCCAGAGAGGAAATTTCTGACCACCCCCAGCCTAGCATTTGATTAAATGCTGCATGGCAAGCATTCCTGGCTGATGTGCACATAAACAGAGAACAGAATTTTCTTTATCTGTGCTGCTTTTCATATTCCAGGTAACACAGAGCTCCCATAAATCTTAATATGGAAAATATGGCTGCTCCCAGTGATTTCTCCAGGGGCATTAAATCCTCTGCAGAGCTGTACACACTGGCTGTCAACAAGTGGTTTCACAGAATCACAGAATCATTTTGGTTGGAAAAGACCTCCAAGATCAAGTCCAACCTTTGACTTATCACCACCTTTCAATCAGCCCAGAGCACTGAGTGCCACATCCAGTTGTTCCTTGGACACCCCAGGGATGGGGACCCACCACTGCCTGGGCATCCCCTTCCAAGGGCTGGCAGCCCTTTCCATGAAGAAATTGCTGCTGATGTTTTGAACACTTGAAGGCAGGGAGGGAATTCCAAATCGGGTTGAGCAGCTTTGCCCAAGGTGTGGATGTTCCTTGTTATGGAGAAACTACAATTCCCTGTTTGTCCACAAAAGAACTGGATCACCTTGAGAACCATGTGAAGCATCATTATGACATCATCCCTGCCTGGACACTTCCCAGCAATGTTGGAAGGAGAGAGGTTGAAGAGGTTGGCTCCTGTTTCTGTGCAGATGGCATGGACCAACATTTTCTTCCCAACACCAGCAGGTCCTGCCAGCAACAGGGATTTCACCAAAGGAGCATTCTCATGGACGATCTGGGAACCTGTAAAAAGTCATAAGGCACTGTTATTGCTTTCATTTAAATCTGCCATAAAGGTAATGGAATGATTCCTCCTTTTTTATTCACCATAAATAATTGATAACGTGAATTAATTGTTTCCTTACTATGGCCTGAGTGCTCTTGAGTGCAATTCTGGATAACCAGAGCTGAGAGCCCAGCAGATTTCACATCTCTGTTTGGAGCAAGACTCATCCACCCTTATTTGTACCTTCTGATGGGAAAACTTCAGTTTTAAACTGATGTGAGCTAAAAGAATGATTTTGAGACTGGAGCAAATGCGAGTGCCAAGGTTGCTGTGCTTCCCTTGCTGTGCCTGCAGCAGTGACTGCTCAGCATTTCCACATTCTGTCTCCATGGATGCTCCAGGTAAATTCATCCTGGGCTGTGACAAATATGATCCATCACCTGGGAAAGCCTCACATTGGGAAAACACAAGCACAGACGGATTTAGGTGGCTGATGGGGATGGAACTTGTCTCCCCTGCAGCTGTCACCACATGAACTGGGGACAGGTGAACCTCCAGAGATGGGAGTAGCAGGAAATGTCAAATGTTTTATCCATGGCCACTGGGAGCCCATGCCCACTTTGCCTCGATGCCTAAAGATATGCTGTGTCAATAGTGGTGGTGTTGACACGTATTTGGAAATCTGTCTGAGCATCCACTGCATTTGGAGGCGTCTCAGACCGGTGTCCATCAGATTGTGGGAGTGGAACTGGCCCCAAAACTGCTGGGCTGCAGAAGAAGCCTTTGCCTTAGCCTGGAGAAGCCCTCTGGGTTAATGGGGACAGCTGCTATTTAAAACAAATCCAATCAGGGTGGTTATCTGAGTCCTAATGGTTTAACATCCCAAATAAATGGCAGGGAACTGAGCACAGAGACAAATGCCATTATTCCAGCGCGGTGCAGGGTGTAGGAAGTTGTCAGCCACCCAGGCTTTATTAATATTTGGCCATTCCATAGCAATCCATTACTATTGCACAAAGATTTATTAGGAGGGGAGCAGCAGACTCCTCTGTGTTAAAGATGAAGTATAGCTTCTACTATTCTTTCTCCTTTCAGCTGCTTATAATTTTCTTAATGCCATTTAAGCTGGAGCTTTCCTTGCCATTGGGTGGCTATTTTGAGAAAAACTTTCACTTCTGTGATACACAATTATCTCATGATGAACTAGTTTGGAGACGGATTAAGTGAAATGTCATCCGTAACGTATCACCCCATAGGTGAAACCATTCCTGTACCTTTTTTTTTTGGCTCATCTAATATCTTTTCTTACTCAAAGGCATATTTTTCAAACTGCTCTTGCAAATACCTTTTGTTTGCTTAACTCTAGTCCAGGGTCTCCTCTCTGTAGAATTTTTGCCAATTGTATAAATGGCATAAAATGTATGGTTTCTCTTGATTAAGGGGTGTTTCAGGGCTTGATTGCCCTAGATTAGATGGTGTCAAAACACAGCTTTGGAGGAGTTTGGGGTTATGTGGAATACATTGTGCAGACAGGGATAACTGCTGAGCTCTCTCAGCTGATTGCAGTCACACCTTCAGCCAGCCCCTGAGGGCTTACCCCAAACACTGAGGGTGTTCCAGGGTGGAGAGAGAATAACCTGAGCACTGGCCTTTGGAAGGAGGGAAAAGCATAAGTTCAGTGTCAGCTTTGCTCTGTTTTCCAGGGAGGGAGGTGGGCAGATGTTGGTGATTTTGCCCTCTAAAGGGGATGAGCAGACACTGACACAGCCTGGGGCAGGACATGCCTAGTTAAAACCTCCCTGGGATCCACTCAGGAATGGAAAAGGATCCAACTGAAGTAACTGAGGCTAGAAAATCCAATCAGGAGTGGAAAGGGACACAAATGAGGTTTAGAGTAAAGGCCCCCAAGACAGGCACTTCTTGCAATCCCTGGAGCTTGGCATAATGCCATTCCCAAGTGAAATATGGGACAGATTTTACATTAAAAGCAAACAACCTGACCCAGGAAAGCCTTGCTAGATATTAGCTAAGCCTGGCATTACAACTGCAAGGGCATTTGCAAGTGTTCTCTGCGATGTACAAAATGTATCCAGACTAATTCCTTCAATGATTGCGTTGTGCTGCACTGAGTAACATTAGCCAGCTTGTAAAAGGTAAATTGCAACCTTAGCCCTTCCCTTAACTTGATTAATTTTGATCAGTGGAGCTTGTTTTAGCTATTATCTTTCCCAAGTGGTTTCCCTTTATGTGCTGCCATTCACAAACTGTTGCCATGCAGACAGAGATGGGCTGGGGAGGCGATACCTGCCTTTCTGTGCTGTTAAAATGATCCAGCCTTCACTCTGAAGGCTTCATTGAAAAACAATTAGACTGCAAAATGCTTCAGATTACGACTAATCAAGCCCTGCCAAAGCCAGTAAAATGCACGTTTCTGACAGGAAGCAAAGCCCCAGCGTGTTTTGCCCTCTGGTGTGCTCTTACCCAAGGGCAATATTCCATAGAGTGTCACCAGCTGTCTGACTTCTGGGATGGAGGGCATGGGCTGGGCACCTGTCCCACGGAGGATGTTCCTCAGACAGTCATAGTAGCCTGTGAGGAGGAAGCAGGAGCTCAATAAATGTGACACCGTTGTTGTAAAAAGCATAACTCAGGGAATGAAGGGCTGCCACAGAGCAGGGATGTAGCACACACTCAGCAAAGCCAGGCTCAGGGACTCAAGCTGGGCAATATTCTGGTGGAATGTGGCCCTGAGAAAGGTGAACTGCAAAGGAAAATTTAAGCTGAACAAGCTGTGGAAGTTGTTCAGCAGAGAGCAGACGGTTTCGAGTAACCTTTTAAAGCAACTTTGTGGAGAAGAATCATTAGCAGCACCATAAATCACGCTGCTGGCTGATTCCTGGATTTGGGATTTTGCAGGGCTAGAATCCCAGTGAACCATGTGCTCTCAGAAGGATTTCAAAAAGGGGGGAAAGCTATTTTAACAAGCTTTTCCCTGGCTGGGTCCCATCTCAGCTCCTCGCTGTGTTAGTCGCGTAAGCGTGTCACCTCATTTGGTGGGGCTCTGCTTTGCAGTTCACCTCTTCCCCCCACCCCAGCCTTTTTTTTGTTCAAAAAAAAACCTCCACAAAACAACCCAAGAAAACGAAAAATCCCTGATGTGAACTGAAACGATTTAATCTTGCCTTGGCTCTGGTTATAGAGCTATAATCACATTGCTTGCCCTGTCAAAGTCCATATCCAAGAAATGCTGGAGAACAAAGATACAAGGGGATGGGCCACAAGCAGGAAAACCAGTTGTGATGTGTAGTCAGTGATTATTTTTAGCATAAATTACATGTCATTATGGTGATTATTATTGAAAAATAATAATATATTATGTTTTACTGTTGATAAAAAGGCAGAGGGCAAGAGGCCTCTGGAGCAGGGGTAAATTAGCAGTGGTTAAGAGCAAAAGTGGACGTATAATTTGGGGGCAAAAAAGGCAGACAAGCCCTGGTGCAACTGCCCCCTCCCCTCTGAAGAAAAATTAATTTCAGGTTTTATCTTTTATTTAAGGAGAAATCAAAAGAACGGGATAGGAATTAATCTTCACAGATTTAATTAGAAGGTATCAAAGGGTTTAATTGCAACTGCACATAAATCACAGTGGATATTCTCTGACTAATTTAGATAAGGTCACCAAGAAAATTAGTTCAGTGATGTCAGTTTGTCATAGAGGGGGGACATTTCGGTGCCTTTCCTGGCTGTGTAGCACAGTTCCACTCTTTGTCCTTTCCCCAGGAACTGCAAGTGACCTTCCTGAGGCTGCAGCCCTGCAAGGCTGAGCAGATGAAGACTCCTTTCTCTGCAAGCTCTGAGTGTGTCCTGGGACCCTCCAAGAGGTTTTCTGGATTTCATAAAATTGTTGGAAACGTGCTGTTTTAAAAGTGGTGGTGGTGGGGGAATGTTTGTTGGACCAAAGTGACCTTGATAGGCCGGGAGAACAAAGGAAGAATGAAAACCTTCCTTTACTTCATGGTGTTTAATGAGCATGAAATGGATGGGACACTTGTTAATTCAGAGAATTAACTACTCTTCAGAGGAATGGGCAGAGGCTCTGGAGGCTGAACTGGTGCTTTTAAGAGTTTATATGAACATGGCATTTGGGGGTGATAGAAGAGAATTTGTCTTTTCTGTATTGGCCTTGTATCAGCTGTAGCACTACTGCTTCTGGATTGCTGCAAATTCAAACCATGGCTTTTGAAACTACCTGAATCCTGCTGTGATTTCACTGTGTGTTTGTGGACATGGTGCTAGACCCCTCTAAAGTCTGAAAATGTGGGGTTTGGGGTTTTTATAACCCCTTTTTTCTCTGTAAAGCATAGCTAAACAGGTCTGGCTGCAGTTGCAGGTAACAGAAACCAGACAAGAGAAGTGTGAAATGCAGAACTAGGCAGAGACATGTCTTACTGAAATGAAGGGCCAGATATGCCTCAAAGCACTGCTCAAAGTTCATGGGCAGTCAGGGAGGTGCAGGGGAGGGGCTGGGCCTTCTCTGCTCAACCAACAAAAGCTGGAGGTACAGTTTCTGCTGTTCTCTGGGAAATATTCTGCATGGATCATGACCCCTTGCACTGTCTTGCCACTGCTCCTTAAAGGATGCTCTGGTTCCGCCTCAGAGTGGCTGTGACATCCACAACCATTCAGGGCACCCAGGTGTTACTGCCTGGAGTTACTCACCAGCTCTGCAAACAGGTCCTGGGCTCAGTAGCAGAAGTGAAAGGTCCTGAGCAGCCCACAGAAACAGACTTGATTTGCATACCTGGCTTTAGGTATTCAAAGTGCAGCGACTCTTGAACTTGGTCTTGACTGAAATGGGGGTGAGTGGAGGTGGAATGGCTGGAGGTTGGATCAAACACCACGTTTGCTGTAAGAGGGGTACTTTACCAATGTAGTCAGAGAGATTCACGTTCTTGACTCTGATGAGCAATCCTTCTTCTGCAAGTTCCTGGTACAGGGAATCAATGGTCCTGCAGGCAGGAGACATCACTCAGAAAGAGTCAGGAAAAGCTCAGGCCTCTCACAACTGAGCCAGCCTGAGAGTTATTTATGTTTTCCCAGCTTTATAAATGCACTTTGTGGCTCGGAGGCAGCAGTGATTAGTGCCATCAATGTGAAATCAATAAGCACAGCTTTCTGTGTCGTGGTGAGGAATCTCTTTCCCTCCCTCACTCGCTGGGTCCCCCTCTCCTGCTGACTCCATTTACCCATTTCCAGGTGATGCCAGATCAGTTATGACTTGTGTAATGGACTCATTCATTAATATCAATTACCGGGAAATTATTGTGAAATTACACAATAATGGCAATCCTAACACTACTATACCTATTCACTCAGCTCTCCAATTAGTACTAATTCATTAATTCTTCTTGGAATTTATTGTGTTGGCAACAGACAGCCTCATCTCTCCGGGAACACACCGGGAATGCCTCACTCAGATCCAGCAGTGTTGAGGTCAGGCTGGCCAGAGGGGGATTGGGAAAAAACATTCCTGAATCCCTGGAAGTGTCCAAGGCTGGACAGGCTTGGAGCAACCTGGGACAGTGGAAGGTGTCCCTGCCCATGGCAGGAGGTGGAACTGGATGGGCTTTAAGGTCCCTGCCCTACCCAAACCAGTCTGGGGTTCCATGAAATGGGCAAAACTTCCCCAGTGGAAGCTTCTCCCTGTCTCCATTAGTGGGTGAAAGTAGATCCCAATAATGAAGGAGTTAAAACACTTAAATTTGTGTGTGCTTTTCTATTGATGTGGATCTTCTCTACACTCTCTTTTGGAATTCTAAGTATTCATTTCAATGACACTTTTGGCACTTGGTTTTATAGAGTCATACTGCTTCCAGGATGATGTAAGCTGAATAAACCTGTCAGAAATTCTTAAGTGTACTGACAGCATAAACAATATTGATTTTAATCTTTTCAGGTCTCTCAGTGTTTTTGCACACCTTTCACATTCTTTCCCCTCAATTATTCTGTCTTTCTCACCTATCTTAATTGGGATGTTCTGGTCTGGCTACAATAAATATATTTAATAGTGCCCCTCAGCTGGCTAATAAACCTACAGGTATAATTTGAGGTCTGCAGCCTTTTTTCCATTTCAGCTGAGGAGTTTTATGTTTATGCAGTCTTAGTGGCACAATTAATGTAGGAATAGCAATAAGCAAATCCAAAATTTAATGCACCTTCAACGAGGTTGATTTTGCTGCTCTGACTCTTGCTTTCATCCTCAGTGGTTTTATGTTGGGAATGCATCATAAAACAGGCAGAAGGTGGAATGGGACTAACCTGGGAGCTCTGGTGGGAGCAGGACTTCTACTTTTCCTGGTATATTATTTTTACTGTGCCAGTTAAATGATGCATGTCCTGAGCCTCCTCCAGGGGAGTGTGATGTGACCAGACTTTGTTGGCTGAAGCCCCCTGTGCCCCCTTTGCTGGGCCCAAATGGAGATTTTGAATCTGACTTATTCATCCCCTCTCTGGGTTATTTCTGAAATGCTCAGCAGGGAAGAGCAAAGCATGGAGCCAAAATGCCAGATAAAAAGCCAGCTACTAGAAAGCTCATGTTTTCAGCTGGCTGCATGGTAAGTTTATATATAAAGAAGCAGGTATGTGCAAGAGCAGTTTTAAAAGCAGGGAATATACACATCCTTCTTAGACTTTGGCAGTGTTTTGTAGGAGAGGTCCTGCTCTGCTATAATCCATGAGACATGGATTTGAAATATTTGCTTTTTTGAGATTTTTTTTTTAAAAAATATATTTTAAAGCAGGTAAAGAGATCACTGGCTGATTGTGTGGTGCCAGCACCCAAATGATCAATTTTGGGTCTTGCTGTTCTTGCAGGAATGGGTTTGTGGGGTGAATTTCACTGATTGTCTTTGTCATTGTGCTGTTTTCCAGCCCTGCTCCTGGATCAGCTGGACCCTGTGGTGTGTGCACAGGTGAAAAATGGCTGGGTTATCAGGGAAGACAGCACTCATTGGAAATGGCAGAGCAGAGGAGGAAATCCTCTCAGATCCTCCAAATAAAGAGTGTTTGAAAGAGCAAGGGTCCACAAGAAGTGGCCAGGTCTGCCAGGACTCTTATTGACCCATGAGACTGATTTATGACATGTACCCTACAGCTCAGCCATGAAGGGGGATTTATGGAGTGCAGGGCCCTGTCTGCAGCCTCCCTTATCAGGCTCCAGCTGGGATGGAAAATCTGACAGTCAACAAAGCAGCCAGGTGCTTCTGCACCTGCAGAGAGGGGAAAAGAGGCACACAGGGCCAATATCCTGCTGAAATGCTCCATGTGCTTAGCTCTGCAAACTGGAATTAACCTGCCTGGAGGTGATGGGACTGGTGCTGGTGGTGTGTGATAGCACAATGGGGATTTTAGCTTGTGTTTGGTGGTGAAGATGAGGAAAACCAAGGTTGATATTGGAGACCTAATGCAGAGAGGTTCTCTTTACCTGTCAGGAGTCAGATCTCTCTCCAGCTCTGGTATCTTTTTCTTCGCAGGTGTCTTGCTTCCCTGAGGACCACACAAGCAAGCAGGAATTAGTGACTTTAACAGAGAGAAATGTTTTAGAATGTACTGAAGCAAAGTGAAGGCCAGAACAGCCAATGTTTCAGTGCTTGAATGTAGCCCAAAGGGAAAAAAACCATATCCTTAAACAGCAGTCCCACTGCTACACAGGAAAGTATCCCAGAGTCATTTTACTCCAAGGGAAAAAGTTCCTCTCCTTCCTTTTGCTTGGATATTAGACTTTTTTTTTTTTTTAATTAGCACAGATGCCCAGGACAGTGGTGGCATCCCCAAGCCTGAAGGGATCTAAAAGCTGTATGGATGTGGCACTAGGGTTTAATGGTGGCCTTGGCAGTGCAGGTTAAGGGTTGGACTCAATGATCTCTCTCAGAGACCTTTTCCAATTGTATGATTCTTATTCCATGATTTTTCCAGAGCACAGTTCTGTGGGTGAGGGGGGATATGGCCCTTGCTCAAGAAGGAAGCAGGAAGGAAAAGGGTGTGGGGTCTAAGTAGCTGCTCCAGAGACTGTTTATGCCTTTTTTAAAAAAAAAAAAATAAAAATAATTATCTATATATTGAAGTATATATATATAAGCAGCTTCCCTGAGGGGAAAAGCTGCTGAGACTCTGGCTACCCTCCTTACAACTGGACATCCTTCTCTTTCCTAATGCCTCAGGGAAGAAGCTGGAAGAGGGCAGAAAAACACAAGCTGCTCTTTTCACATTTTCACCACCATTTCACCACAGAAAGATTTTTGACTCCTGTGCCTCATTTCTTTACACATTACAAAACAACTCGTGGCAAACATAAATAAGGAAGATGTGACTCTGGCTTGTCAAACCCCTCCATTAATTACAGCTCAGGAGCCATAAATATGGTTAGGGATAATTAGTAGTGTGGAGAGGGCATCATTAATCCACGTTAGTGCCCACCACTGGTGTCTGAGCTCCAGTCCTGCAAAGCACTCCAGGATTGCTCCAGTGGAACTGTTTACACAGAAACCTTGGTGCACCAGGGGATTTCTCCAACAGCTTAAATTTAAGCACGTGCTTAAATGCTTAGTTGAACAAGACAGCTTATTCTTTCTAAAAGTTTATGTTCGCTTTCCTGGGAATACAACCATTTACTTTGCTTTTTTTTATAATAGTGAATACTTCTGCAGAGCTCTGGAGGCTGTGTTGTTGAGTTTAAAAAATCCTATCCAATTATCTGGAAAATGCTGGGCTTTTTCACAGAATAGATCAGCAGCCTTCAGGAATAGATGAATTTTGGGTTTTCAAGGATAGACACAACATAAGTAACCTGTGGTTCGATCACCTGTTACTGTTTATGATGCCACAAAGATAATCCAGATGAAAATGCAGCTGAAACCCAGCACTATATGGATCAGCCAACTGGGAAAATGAGTTGTTTTTACATTTTGGGTTAGGATAATGCAAACAACTCTGCATTTGGAGAACTATACCTTGGGTTTCTTTACATAAAGAAGTTTGGCAGCAGATATTCATCCAAATGTGCCAGGGGGATTTTGCTTTGAAGAAAGGGAATGGGAAGAAGAAAGCACATGCCATGCTGTTTTAACAACTGCAGAAATATTGAGGCTGTCACTGGTTGATTTTTGCTGTTCCTCCTGTTTTGTCTTTTTAACCTCTCCTCCAACAAACCAGAAATTACATATATTTGGGTCTGACTGGGAAGAAAACTTGTTTCAACCTAAGTAAAGATGCTAAGCATATGTTGAATTTATTGGCCAACTGGTATTGTCCTCAAGGCAGCTTCACCAATAAAGTAACTCCAGAGCAAAACAAAAATGAACTGTGCGGAGGAAAAATGTGTTTTCCTAATTTACAACAGCATTTGTGGGGAATTTGGCACAGGCTGAGATGTGATAAGGGCAAATATGAATTGTAGACAATGGCTTGCCTCCAAAATGTCTTACTGGGAACGGCTTTTATTTAGAAAATGATAATGTTTAATGAATGTGAACACGCTCATCATTTATAATGGAAATCTCCTTGCTTCTCTCTCTGAAATGTCTGTTGAGCTTCTGTGCAGCCACCCCCTGACTTGGTGGTTTTCTGAGTTGATAATTCCCATGGAGGGAGCTGCATCAGAGGGCAGCTGGTGGGGACACAGGGCTGTCTCCTGTGCCCAGTGGGGTGGCTCCTCTTGCTGTGTGGGCTCAGCAAAATGCTTTGGGTAGCTCAGAGGTTGGAGCAGACAAGAACCTGATTTCAGACCAAATTCCAGAGCACTGTCTGCTGCTGGAATGGCACCAGGAGGGAGAAGGGTATCCAAATGTCTCACTGAGGGAAATTGTTGAAACTGGAGGACCTGTGTCACCCTTTGGCTGTGATCTCACAGGTCCTGGCTGCAGCTACAGCCACCATGGGTCATGGAATCATGGAATGGCTGGTGTGGAAGGTTATCCAGTTCCACCCCCTGCCATGGGCAGGGTCACCTTCCATTATCCCAGGCTGCTCCAAACCCTGTCCAACCTGGCCTGGGACACTTCCAGGTATCCAGGGGCAGCCACAGCTTCTCTGGGCACCCTGTGCCAGGGCCTCCCCACCCTCACAGGGAGCAGTTTTTTCCTAATATCCCATGGAAATCTACTCTCAGTTTGAAGCCATTCCTCCTTGTCCCTAGATGCTGTTGTAACAAATCCCTTTCTGTGTTTCTTGCAGGTTCCTTGTGGAAAAGTAACAAGAGGAGAGTGCTCCTGTGCTTTAAGGGAAACCAGCAGCTGATACATTTTAGTGGATTCCTTGGATCGTGTGAGATGCTTAAGATGGGAGGCTGAGCAAGTGAAGATTTGCACTGGGCCTGGGTTGAGAAGCCTTTTCTGGCAGTGCTGAGATAAAACAAGCAGCTTCTGACACTTACACTGAAAAAGTGCTTAGACAAAGATGTTCCTGCTGATTAATAAACTTGCTGAATGAGGGACTCTGATCTGCATTCCCTGTTGGATTTAGGCACAGCATCCAAAGAGGTTACAGATCCCACAGCTGGCTGAGCTCTGGTTCCAGCAGTTAAAAGAAATCCAGCAGGGCTTGGGAATCACAGCCCTCAAACCCAGCCTTTCCTCAGTTCTCACCCAGCTTCTCTTCTGTCCTCCTTCTCTGTGGCTTTGCTCTTGTTGATATTTCTGTCACAGCCCTTTGTGCTTTGCTTCTGCCCAGTTTCACCCAGAAGGGATCTCCAAAGCTGTGAAGCAAGTTTTCTTCCACACTTATGTTCCCATGTCCCCCTTTCCTGGGTTTTCTGTGTCTCTCTGTTTTTCCCCCCTGAATCCTGGCCATGCCTTTGTGTATGTGTGGGTGTGTTCATTTCCAATGCATTGCTTTACCTGCAGTGGGGATCAGAAATAAATCCTTGGGGGAGCAGAGCAGGAAAAGCAGCACAATGGGCTTGAGAGAAAGCACTCTGATAAGCTCTTAAATGGAACTTCCAGGTCAGTGGCTGCCATGTTCCTCACTCAGAGGACATCTCCCAGCCTGTCCATTCCCAGTGCTCCCAGTCCCAACCTGCTGGATCCCTAGCTGGGCAGGGATGAGCTGCCACTGTGCCAAGTGAAGGAAAATGCAGATTACAGCAGAGCTGACCCCCATTCCTCTGTTTCTGTTGTATCCTCATCCCCTTTCTAGTGACAGTCATTGGAGCAGGAGCTATCTGGAAGAATTAGGGTCCAGCAAAGTGTGTCTCTTAACCAGGACACTCTGTCTATGCTGGGCCATAAAGGTGGGACAGTCTGTGGGTATGGGAAGCTTCCAGCTTGGAAAGAGGCACAGAATCTCTGTAATAAACCCAGCAGTGTGGTTTAGTGAGTATTAAGTGCAATCTAATGAGTTTTGTTATTTCCAGATCAGTCTACTGCTCTGGAGACCCGCTTGTCATGAGAAGAACAATTTTTTTCACTCAAGTTCATTCTTCCACAAAGCTGGCAAATGGGATTCTTATCTTCAGGAGCTCTAAGAGCAGTTCTTGGTAGGGTTAAGTGTCAGCTTTTAGCAGCAAGTGGTATTTGAAGGTTTGGGAATCAATGATAAAGTACTTACAGAAATAAAGGAGTGGCTCTGGGTAGGCTTGGAGCTGTTATATATTGTTTTTCTTAAAGCTAAGAGTTGTCTGGAACACTGACTAGAGAGGAGAAATTTCCCTTTAGAATCCAGTTCCAAAATGTCCTTGCTGTGTTCCCCACAAAAGGGACTTGAAAACTCAGATTGGTTCCTGTGGGTCAAAGCCCAGATTTTTGTTTTCAATATGGATTTGACAGAAATTTTCTGAGTTGGGAACTACTCATATTAAGGCTTGGAAAGGCACAGAACACCTGCCTCTGGTAGGGACAATTCCCTGACAAAGAGAGCAGAAGAAATCCCTCCCTAAAACAGAGGGAATGGCTAAATGTGGCATCACAGGTGGAATTTGTGGTGATGGTCCCTAGACATAAAATTCCATCTGTGAAAATTCTCCTAAAGAAATTACCCATTCATTGCCCCTTGCCCAGTGCCAGAGCACAGGAAAAGGTCTCATTTCTCTGAAGAATGCTGACTTCTCTTGAGAATGCAGAATATCCCCTTTTTTATTTTTGTTTTGGCAGGGGGATTTTTCACACTGCACTCCAGACCTGCTCCTAGCTACAATGAGAACCTGAAACAATCACCTGTTATATACTGCAAAACTGAGGGGGAGACATGTGGGACCTCGTATGTGGATTGAAAGATTAGAGATTTTTTTTGCTGAATAATAAATTAACGAGGTATTTCCATAACTCTCCAGCTCATATTATTCTTATTATATAGACCAGGTTATCCTAAAGCAGATCTGCAGTCTGTGTGCACAGGTATGCACTGGTTTGGTTTATGACTGAGATATTTATGCAAATACTAATTGGAAAAGGCCTTTGCCAATGCTGAATGGACATTTTAAATGGCTTTGCACAGGGAAGATGTGTTTTGACTAACACTGCATCATTCCTTTTGTTCCCCAGTCCTCAAATAGAACTGTTTTGGCTTGGGTGGGGTTTTTTTAAGATGAAATCTTTACGGAATTGGTATTATCTAATTACTACTTCTTTTCCTGCCTCATTCTCTCGGGCTACTGGCACAACTTGGGAAAATAGAAGTTAAATAATCTCCCTCCACCCTAAGCTATTCCAACACTACATTGAAGGAAAAAAAACCAACCCAACCCAGCCCTAACATAAAGCTCTGTAATTCCAGTGTGACATTTTGCAGCAGGGCACTGGCCAGCTGATCTAAATGTGTCTGCCCATGAAAACTTGGGGGAGATTTTTGCAATATTTTGTCTGTATATCTTAAGCCCCCACCCTATTTTTGAAACAGATTTAGGAATCCAGTTGGGATCAGCTTTCAGGGCTGCCCCAGTCTTTTCTTGTTAGATTGTCCCTGGGCATTTGTCAGGGGAAAAAGCATTTTTAAAGATAATTTGAGTAGAAGTAGAGCAACAGCAAGTATTTGCATGCTAAAAGGTATTACAGAAATGAAATACAGCATGAGATTAGGGTTGGCTATTTGCCCTGAGGGTTTTAAGTGGATCTGCTGATTGAGTGGTGGGGTGTAAGCTTTGAGTTATTTTGCACTGGCATGATCTCTAATTTAAATGCTTTGGTAAGGAATTTTAGAGAACCACAAGCTGTGGTATTCTTCATATGACAGTGCTGTAAAACTAGATGTGAACATGACATGTGCTGTGTTTTGGGGGGGTTTAACCTATTTTTTATGCCTAAATAAACTTGGCTTAATTGCAAATTCCCAAACCCCTCCATAGGATGTAGTAACATAATGAGTACCTGGCTGTGTGTGATCTATGTGGTGTTACAGACAAATGAAAGGTTACATCAAAACATTCCGAGGGAATTTTTTTTGTGTACAGTCTTGAAACATAATAACCAGTCCTGGAGGAAAAACAGCCAGCAGCTGGAAAACTCACTGGCCTCCAGATCCCTGTTTTCCTTGGAAAACTATTAATCTGAACTGGTCAGCCTGAAGAGAGGGATTGCTTCCATTTTGCTGTTTGACTGCATCCAAGGATTTCAGGAGGGTGAAAACCTGAAATACCTCATAGTGATTTATCTCTGGAGTAGCTCAACTTGTCCTAAGCAATATTTATACAAAGAACAAGAGCTAATGCAGAAGGCCCTGAAAACACCCACAGGTGAAGAGATTTCAGATGTTCCTGACTTGAGATTCAGTAAATGTTTAGGGTGGACATTTTGATATTTGTACCTGAGGTTTGCACTGACCACCACTGTACCTGGGTAGGGAATTGTGACTGCCCCTCAGTTCTCCCAACTTGCTGCTCTTACCTTTTCACCTTTCCCAGCTTTACTCTGAGGACCTGTCTCTCCATCCACAGCCTGTTTGATCTTCAGCAGTTTCTCCTGCATCACTTCATCGACCTGCTCAAGACAAACGCAGAGGAATCTTCCTCAGTTTTCTGCTCTGCAGCCTCACCCCAGACAATTGTTCAGCTGAACAAGTGTGAAAGCAAAGAACAGGTAGTAGGGACTCTGGAAGGAGGGAAGGTCTGTGCCAGGGCCAGTTCTTACAGCTGGAGAAAAATATACACAGGTAATGCACATGATTAGTGTCCTCTTGCTATTGTAAGCACACCTGCACTCTGATCTCTTCCTCCACTTCTTCCCGTTCCCCTCCTTTGATCAGCTCCGGGTCATGATCCTGGAGAAAATCCCATCTGTTATCTCTGTTCTCCCAAAAGACTGTTATCCAAAAGAAAGAAAAAAAAGGGGAAAAGTTACAGAAGCCATTGCTTTCTCCAACTGCTTCTGGAGGCAAAAGAAAGAGTAGTTGTAGGCAGCTTTTATTAAATTATGAGCTGTATGAAAGTAGCAGGCTCTAGGGACCCTTAGCAAGTTCAGAGCCCCGTTGTGTTAGGATCTGCAAATCTTGAGCTTAAGGGATTTCTTCTTTTGCCTTGGGTTGCAAAATGGTATCAGAATTCATGAGGATAATGGGATAGTGAGGTTGTCATTTGGAGGTTGTAAAGCTGAAAGCCTGGAGTGTGCTCAATCTCCAGGAGCCCTGTCCCGTGCCTGATGTTGGCATTATTTCATTCTGTTTAACAGCACAGGGCTTAAATCCTTTCCCTGAAGAAGGCACAGGGATGGCTCCTGCCCTGAAGGATGTGCTCTCCACCAGTGTCACTTGGCTGGCACAACACAGGCTTGGGGACCAAAGGAAGGGGAGTCAATTCAAACCACAAATTTCCCCGTTCTCCCCATGGCTCAGTTAAAGCTGCTGCATCCTGGCCTTTCTAGTGATGCCCAGGAGGCTGAAATATGGGAATAGGGGCACTGGAATAGGAATAAAACCAGCACTGAGCATGTGGAAGTGGGAGAGAGGGAGGGGACAGGGAGTGTGACAGAGCAATTACCTGCAGCTGACCCACAAGGCCACACAGAGGCTTCACTTTGGGGAATTATAAGCTCGATGCAGAAATTGAAATGCAGTTAAGCCCAAAAAAGACAAGGCCCACCTGATCCAGACCCTCTGTTCTGAAGTGCTGTGCAAAGGAGAAGCAATAAAGAGACCTAACACCCAGTCACAGCAAATTTGTGAAACTGGTGATGGAAAAAAAGCTATTTGTGATAAAATACCTAATGATCCTGAGGTGCAGCTCGTTATTTTTGTTGAGGCAAACTGCAATTTGCTCTTTAGAAAGAAAACTAAATGAAGTCTGACGAGCTTGGTGCATATCTGAGTTCTCTGCTATTAGCTAAGTGCCTTACTTTAATGGAAACACCTCTTTTTCCTACACTTCTTGAGCTAATTTGAAGGAAGGCAATTCATATCTTGCCTTTGAAGCCCTGATTGTATCTTCCTAAATGACAGCTAATCTCCAGCTGTATGTGCTAATTCAATTTCCCGATGATTTGAAATGACAGTTTTCCACTTTAAGACATTGGCTCCTCTATGACTGTTTTGTACAGATATTTTCCCCTGTACCCCCTGCCTGCTGAAGGCACCGTGCAAATTCAGAAAGCTTTTAACATCCAAGTTTTAGTTAATCTAAGACTGGCTGTTCTTTCCCTCCCCAACAAATTTTCAGAGCCCAATTCCACGCAGAGGATTTATAGTTTTACAAAGTTTATAGAGGGAGTAGTACTTGCAGGTGAGTAATCTTAATTTCACCACTGAGAATGAGAATGGTGGGGATGGAGGAGGACTGGGGATATTTTGGTGTTGGAAGAAACCCCAAAGTACAGACATTAAATTTCTTTCAATTACTTGTGGGTCAACAGAGGGCATGACAGATGTCACGTAATATTTCAGGAGGAAAAGCTGATTTGCCCAAGTTATGAGGTAGCTCCTCCAGCCTGGAATTCCAGCCTTGGGGAAAGGGGACGTTATAGAGGAGTTATGTGAATTTTTAAACACTTTCCTGACTGGGTCAACAGGTTGCAAGTGCTGTGTTTTCACAGGAGTACAAGGCTTTAGATATTTATTTTTCATAGATGGATCTGTAGGTTTTTCTATTCTGGTTTTTTTCATAATTGTTTATTGTCATTTTGTAGATTGATTAGTGGTTAATACCCACTGCAGGCAAAACCAGGGAGGGTCCCCCCAGACTCTGCTATTACCTGGCAATGAGTTATCTGAGTGTTATATTAACCACTGGGTTAGAGGTGCCTAATTTTAGTAGAGAGATCAATAACTCATAGGTGTTAGATGCTCTGTTATTCTTTTATAGATCAACAAAATGTTTCAAAGTTAATTTTATAGGGGGGTCAGGAGGCTAAGGATGTTATGTTTTCACTGGCTGGTCAGCAGAGTCTGGTATTTTGTTACAGGCAGGGTCAGCCAGCTCCAGGAGCTATTTCTGTGCCTGTGTGTATGCAGTGAAATTTATGTCACCTTTTCTAAAATAGTGTATGCTTATTTTGGGATTGTTTTATATGCATAGCTAGCTCAGGGCTCAGAGGCAGCCCAGACCACTCCTAAATCAGAACCCCAGCTCTGCAGGCCAGTAGGGAACTCCAATATCCCAAAATTTCAGAGAACAGGCTGTGACTAACAATTGCAATATATTTATTTGAAGCATGAAGCTTCTCTTGAAATGACCACTTTGAACCTCCTGGCAAAAGGATTTGAATCTTTTCAAGGCTGGTTAAAAATACAGAGTATCACCACACCTTAAAGGAATATTTGGACACACCATGGAGTATTTGAACTCAGATATTCTCTGTGACACTGAACAAGTCATAAATATCAACTGGTCATCTACAGAATGGGGGAAAATAGCACATTGCTGCTTCACACTGCAAAAATACACCCCAGGAAGAGGGAGGTAATGGCTCAGCCTCACATTTGCCCCACATAAACTCTGGCTATTCCAGTGTGAAAGGAGATATCACACAAAGTGGCTGTTCCCAACAACATCATTTAAAATAAGTGTTTTTAGAGCTTGGCAAGTGGAGTTTAGCAAGCAGAAAAACTGCCAGATACAGTTCTAGGAGGCTAAAAGGCTTCATGAATTCCAGTGAAGTTTAGGCAGCAGTTCTGGCTTGGTAGAGGAGTTAAAAACACAGAGTGAAAAGGTTTGTAAGCAAAATGTTTAGGTTTTTGTCAAAACTGATCTATATTTTTAAAAATTATTTAAGTAAACTAGGGATAAAAGCACAAGTTTCATGGGATGGGAACATTTTCTCAAAATTAAGTGTTGGGGGGGGTGTGACAAAACAAAGATATTTGTTGTTTGGCCAGCTATCACTTAGGTAAACTTTAGACACACTTATAAGGGGCTTTGAATTACTCCTGATACAAACATTTCTTAATCAAGCTCTGTTGCTTCTGTCTTGTTTTCAAGATTTCTACACTAATAAATCTGAACTTCTGTGCAAATGCTGATAGCAAGTGACCTATTTCTACTTAAGATTAGGAAAAAAGTTCTCAGTAGAAAGTCCAAACTCAGACCTATTTTTTTACTGCATAATCCTGCTACTGAGAGGAAAGCAGCCTAAAATTAAAAATACAAGAGACTGCTTGCACTGGTGTGGGCTGATGTTGTTGTAGATTTGATTCTGATGACCAAAGAATCCATGGTTAGATTAAAAATAAAATAATTTTGACGACTCCCAGGTTAGTATTGTGTGAGTGCCCTGCAGTGAAAAGCCCAAAGTGCTTGTGAAGGAGGCAGGGGATTGTGGAGCAAGGAGGAATTAGCAGCTGTTTACTAAAAATAAGTGTGGTGTCAAATAGACCAGGTTCACCAGGAGAAAAGGAGGAAAAAAGCCCCACCTGAAGTTTAACTGCACATTTATAGACTCTTCCTCTGCCTAAGACAGAACTGCAGGTTTTCTTTGAAGCCTGCAAGAGAGCTTTTTCACTCTGAGGGTTTCTGGTTGTGCTCTGTGCAGAAAAGGGCTCCTTCTCATGTGCCTTCAGAGCTGGGGAGTAGCTGCCAGCTTTGGCAGGACGGGCTGGAGATGTGTGGGTGTTTAAGTGGGAAATGGGAACCACAGAGGCACTCACACTGTGTGAATGACCCCAAAAAAGTTCTGTATTTGCAGGGTTTGAAGCAGGTGTCTGCTGGGAATGGCAGTGCTGGTGTTCAGACACAGTTTGGTGACAAATCCCCCATCCCCTCGTAAAACCCCTTATTACACAAGATAGCTGTGAAATCTGGGAGTCTCCATCGCGATCAGAGTAACCCATCAGCCTCTGTGGTGTTTTTATTCCTCACTCTGGTATCCAGTGCTGTGCTGAGGTTACAGCCAAGCATGTTCCCTCCAAGGCAAAGCCCTCCTGTTTCCCTTCTGCTGCTTCCACGCTGCTCCTTCCCTGCCCTGGGGACTCGCTGGGTGGGAGCCCCACTCCTGCCACTGCTGCTTTGGAGTTCAAGATGCCATTTTGTCCTTGCCCAGCTATGGAAAGAAGTGTGGATGGATTTGATCCTTATCTAAAGCTCCTGCTGCCTTCAGCGGGGTTCTGACGTGGTATTTGAGAGTAGATGGGATGCAAAGGTCCTTTTTAGCCAGAAAGCTGCTCCATGATTTATAACGTGTAAGAAAATCCTAATAGTTACAAGTCAGAGGTCAGGCTGAACTACTGATGCACATTTAGCAAGTTGTTCACTTCTTTCTCTCCAGCCAGCTCAAATCGGGCAGAAAACTTGATGCCAGTAATTTGTCAGCAGGAGGGAAAAATGGAGACTTTTCATATCAGGAATTTTAGCAAGGCATTAACTCTGAAGAGTAGAGAACAGAAAAGATACTTTTCCACATTGTATCAGAACAGAATCTGCAGAAATACAGCAAAAACTAACCCCATTTTCCACTTCACTCAAGTGCAAGACTTCTCATTCACTTGTTAATCAGGGTGAGCACTGAAGACAAGACTTGAAGAGATAAACAGAAGGATCAAAAGCAGAGGAGAGGATAGAAGAGATCTGGAAAAGAACTAAATGGCCTTTCAAGATTTTTATTAAGAAATTCTTGCTTCTGGGGGTACCAAGCCAGCCAGGCCCCTTGCTGAAAGTCTGGGTTATGTTTTAGTTTCACACACTTTGCAGGAAGCAAGTGCATTCATACTTTTGTGCCTCTGCTTGAGAAGATGCTCCTCCTATTCAAACATATAATCAAAAATAATTGGAGTAGCTGTGGGTGCTGCCAAGGAATCCACAGACTCTTCCCTTGATTCTCACTCTTGGAAGAGATGGGACAGGAGTATGAAAACACTGATGCTGAAACTTGATCCACAGTATTGTGCTTTTGCTTTATTGGCTATTCTGATGTCATTCTTGTTGCCCTCAGAAAATCCTAAAATGCCTTTTTTATATATATTGAAGCACTTTGCTTTGAGTTTGTTCACTTTCACCCACAGAAATGTCCCTTCCTGCCTGATAAGCTCAATGGTTTTGACAGATTCCTTGGAAGGACTGAGGTACTGAGAGACTCCCTAAACACCATTTTTTAATCTAACATCCTAATTTTTATAATGTTCCATAGTTTGGGCAGCTGCCCACTTGACCTTATAGGAATGACATCCCGATTAAGCTGATCTGGGAGAACATTCCAGCTGGAATTGTTATATTTTTCTACTGACCTTGGTACTGAGAGCTTCCTTCCTCCAGTATCGACAGGAAATTGCTTGGACCAATTTTCCATCTTAGATCCACTACCTAGATTGGGGGGAAAAGTGAAGAGAGGAATTGCTGACAGCATTGTTTCACAGAATTCTGGGATGGGTTGGAAAAGGCCTGAAAGATCTTATCCCACCCCCTGCCATGGGCAGGGACACCTCCCACCAACCCAGGCTGCTCCATGAGAGAAGGGATTAAACTCCAGCTTATTTGAAAATGTAATTTTGGTAGGAGACTTGCAGTATTTAAATGGAATTTAATTGAAATGCCATTTTTCCAGTTACTTTTGCTTCTATTGCCATATTCCCTAAACTGTTTTATTTCATTGAACCAGTATTTCTGAGGGAAAAACCTCCCAGAAAATTATCAAAGTTTCTTCATCTTGTATCAGTCTTAAGTCTCAAGATGTAATGAAGGTAACAGCTGACAAAGGGAGATTAAATCACTGTTTGGGGAGGAGGTGAATGTGGATTTATACAAGACAGCACAAGGTGCATCAGGATTTTGCTAAATAACCTGCAAACCACTTGTTATCAGCAAGATATAAAGTTCAGCTCCTGCACTTTAAACACCTTCCTAAATAAACCCTGTAATTAGGGGCATATCTGCTGCCTGCAGGTACAACTGCAGCCCTGTTATGTTATCAAATATTTGTTTTTAATTTAAGTTTTATTACAGTAATTACAGTTTGGGCCCAGAAGGACAGGAAAAATCTAAATACATTTATCACTTCTACCCTAGAGAAGCATTTGAAAGAGACTCAGGAGGTTCTTGACTGAACATCAAGAACTGTTTTGGTTAAGTAAAACAAAAAGTTGGAGGGTAGATCCTCAGTTACTCTGATGTATTCCCAGTTTCACAGGGTGTGGCACTTTGAGGTTCATCCTTGGATCATTTGCAGTAGGCAGAATCCTTCTTTTACCATTTTTCCATGGTATTTTGTAGAAAATTATTAAACCATGATGTTCTGAGAGGAAATGTGTCAATTATTAGAAAACCCAACAAACAAATTCCCTCCAAACCAGCCTAAAAATGGGTTATTTGTTTTTGGCCTCTCAATACCACAGGACACATCAACATTTTATTGTTATAAATAAGGCAATGAATTGTTTTAGTTATTTGCTTCAGTGATTTTATACACTGATGTCAAGGATATCATTGTGTCAATTTAATTGATTTTAATCAAACCCACTCTTGTGTCTAAAGGACAGTTGCAGTTCTGTTCTCTCTCTCCTCAATTAACAGCCTAAGAGTCAACATAATAAAAAGAACTTTTCCTTTGAAACCAGTTCATTCATTTTTTGATTTCCAGTGGATTGAGTTCATGCTTGTTCTGTTTTAAATGTGTTAAGGCCCCTTGAACCAGCAATATATGTTTGAATTTAAGCAGAAATGTGGAAATGAGAGTCTCAATCTATTTCTGAGGCTTTCCAAAGGCAGCTCCACACCAGCTGATTCCCATTCAGCAGCAGGGAAAGCTGAATTGGCTGCACAGTGCACATTTCCTCTGGACATTTTCCTAAGAGGTTTCACTAAGGACAGGAGTGTGTCCCATGTTTGGCACTCAGGGATGCTCAGCCTTGCTCAGGTTCAGTGAGACAAACTCCAGCAATTACTGGGTTTTGGAAAGTGGGATTTTGTGGGGATGAAACCATGGGTTGTTTTTTTCCTTAGGTGCCTAATGGGAAATCAAATCAGCACCTTGCAGAGAAAAGAGAGTGAAGTTACTTTGATATCAAATACTCTTTGTGAAGATTGCTATCAGGCTTTTCAGAAATACTTAAATTTCCTTCTGGGATCAAACTTTTGTTTTCTTTAAGAGCTGAAGTTGGGAGCAGAGCTTTATTCTGCCTGCATCCCTATGACTTATAGCCTATACTTATTTTAATAAGAGTCCCACTGTTAGAACTTTTCCAGATACTTCTCAACTGGTCTAGGATACTCTTTTTTTCCCCCTGTCAGTGCTATAACCTTGGAGAGAATGTTCCTTTTGTTCTTTCTCAATGAACCGTAGAGAACCTGATCTAATGGCTCAGGATTTTACTTGACAGGACTTGTGATGGCTGAGGAGATGGGAATGACATGAAGTTATAAAACCCCAGAGCTCCACGCTGTTATTTCACCCCAATTCCAAACAGCCTTGCAGAGGCTGTGAAGGGATTGAGACACATTTCTGCTGTTGTTGGTTCTTATCTTCAGAAATGTGCAAAACCAAGAAGGAATCATATTTTATCCTGTGAAAGTCAGGTTTTTAAGCAGATGGGTGAGGTGCCATCCAGTTTCAGGAGCTTCATCAGTGCTGTGACAGCGTCACAGTAACAAGTGACTGGCTGAAGATGTGTGACCAGAACTTAAAAAAACATCTCCTATTTGCACAGGAGCAGCCACAACCCTTCCTAGCTGGCAAAGTTAAGCAATTAGGCTTAAAAGACCTTGAAAAACATTCATGTATTTGCTCCTTCAGCTTGCTGGGTATTTTCATTTACAAAGGAAAAAAAACCAAAACCAACTCACCCCAAACTCCCAAGCAGTGTTTTCAAGATGCTCATTTACAAGTTAACATTAAAATACTTACCTTTCAATTAAATTGACTGATGCTTCCTAAATTCATGTAATTTAGGTTCCTGGCTAGATGTTCTGAGGGTTTTGGCCAGATTAATGGATGTTGTCCAAGAAAAACATCATTTTTTGAAATATATTTGCTCTAGGGTTAGGCCTTCAAATTAATTTGTGTAAAACTTGCAGTGAAGAGTATGCTTTGCCCTAGAAAACTCACCCTTCTCCTCCACATATTTAGTGAGAGATTAATAACTCTTATTAAAAAAAAAAAAGATATTGTTTCAACTTTTGTTTATACTGTGAAGTAAATGAGAAACGAAAGCTGCTGCTTCAGCGAAAGCTGACACACAGCTTGCTTTTGAAGGTGCCCTTTGATCACTGCTCTGTTTCACAGGTGTTTTGCTCTGTTGAGTTGCTCCTGAAATAATTTGGAAGTGTGTGTAATAATGAAATATTTGGAATAACTTGGAAATATTTGGAATATTTGAAATAATTTGGAAGCAGCCTTTTATCTCAAAGATTTCAGGGGGTATATTGTACAATTAAATGTCTACAGACATTTGCAGCAAAAATAGCTCCTGTCCTGAGAACATGGGCTGAAAATGCATGGCTTTATTTGCAGGTTTATGCAATGCTGCCTGACGTGGTTTAAAAATTAGTTTGAAATCCACACAAGCTTGAGGTGGGGATCTGAGTGAGACTCAGGCTCTTCATTCCAGATTCTGCAAGAGGTGGCAGTAATTAAAATCTCTGTACCCACATGAGGAGTGGGAATGCTCAGTCACCACTTTGTTACCTGTCTGTCCTGGCAATGATCTCAAAGCCCTGAGTGTATTTTTGCCCTCATTTACATCCCTGACCATCTGCACCTCCATCAGCTCTTCCCACTGAGCTCAGTCATGGCCATTCCTAAAATATGAGAGGTAAAAAATTCCCCAGAACCACCGAGGTCATGGAAAGGCTGGGAGAGACCAACCTCAGCCAGTTCTTTGTCTCCTGAGCCTGGAATTTGGTGACCAGTTTAATGTCACTTAACAGCCCCTGCCCACACCTGAGCTTTGCCTCTGGCTTCACAACCTGCTTTCTTTGCCTTACTTGCTTTCCAACTTTTTCTGGCTTTTTCGCTTTGACCGCTTGTTTCTCTTTTTTCCCATTCTTCTCCTTCTCTTTTTTCTCTGCCTCCCTTTTGGCAGCCAGCTCTTCAGCGACCTGAAAGACACGGGGAGGAATGTGATTGGGAAAACACAACACCCAACAGGCTGCACTCTCAATTCCTGACCATCACAGAGGAGCCTTTTTGTGCTGGGGGCACTCCCCCCTGCAAACTCCAGCACAGGTGCTGACTATCCCAATTCATCATTAGGAAAAAGCTGATTTCTGTGTCCCAAGCTGTGAGGGCTTTTATGGAAACCCATCCAGAAGCAGAATATTCTAATGACACCTAACTCAAAGTTCCCTCTGGACTCGGACCCAGATTATGAATTTGTCCTGGTGTTTGTAAGGCAGATTGATTTTTTTTATAGGGATGGATTTTAAAAGGCTGCCCTGAGGTATGTCTAATTTCAATATATGGCTAAAGACTGAAATTGTTCTAGTGGGTGAGGGAGATTGGGTAGAGATCTTGTGACAAAGCTTGACAGATACACAGGGATAGCTCAACATCTTTATCCCTGCAAGCAAATAGCAGCTGATAACTGGGTACAGCTCCATCAACTCCCATATCTTTAGTTCCTGGCCATTTATACTTTATTATCTGAAAAAGGCAGAGGGTGAAAATTTGCTGCTTCTCTTGTTTCTAGGCAGCTTTCTCTTCCCTGAGAGGAATTCTAAGATCACTTACTAATGAGTCTAAATCAGAAAATCCATTGAAGCTTATTAATAGACCACTAATACCAGCAGTACTGCGAAAGAGTAGAAAATGAAACATTTCCATCTGTAAGATGTGTTTCCTGTAACAGTGAAAATATTTGTTTTCTCAAGTACACCTTTTAATGTACTCAACACTGGATGCTGGAAGGGGACAATGACAAGGGCTGTGCTTTGCAGCCAGGGCAGTTTCATTAGTGGCTCTCCCCAAGCATTTCAGTATCTTACATTTAATTAAATATGGTAATTCAAACCCTGAGCACCGCTCAGTCACATCTTGTGGTGATAAGCAGTGAAGCATTTCATTCCCTGGGATAGATTAACAGATTGACTGGAGTTCAAAATAGGTTTTTAGTGTCCCAGCAGGCCTGTTGTATCCAAAACCAACAGAGCTACTCTGAGTGTATCCTTTACTGTAGCCTTCCTAGGCAGCCAGAAACCCAACCTTGTCCCCTCCACCTCTGATCTGCTCTGCCTGCAAAGGGTAACCAGAACCATTCCCAGCATCTCAGGGGTGGCTTTATCCAGCAGGATACCTCTAAACACACACGCGATTGACAAAAGGTTTCAGTTTGCAGCTGTGCCTCTGCATTCTGCAGGCAGCATTTTAAGTGCACGCAGACTCCGAGTGGAGCGATTTGCTTTCGTGTTTTTGCACAGATGAACGATACTGGAAGGGCTGAGACAGAGTTTCTGTTCTCATGAACCTGCTGTGATGGCACTGAGGTGTCCTTGTCCCTCTGCCTGGCCTTGCTGCAGCTCTTCCAGCTCTGCTCCCACCCCTGCTCCAAGCAGACTGCAGAGGGCTGGGAGCTGGGGGAAGCTGCCCCTGTGTCTAACCTCGAGTGGCTTCTGCTTCTTTATACAGAACCACTTCCCCTCCAGCTGCAAGGAGATACCTGAACAATCTGACAACAGAGGAGGAAAGAAAGGGAATGGCAAGCAAAGGTTAGTTTGAGATTAGTGGGCAATTCACCTGCATTTTAGTGTAGGTTGGTTTTTTTTTTGCCCTGGAGAAAACTTCATAGTGGAAAGAGAAGTAGATGTCTTCCTAAGTTGTTCTGCACTCCCCTTTTCTTTGCTAGGTTGTCTGTTTTTGAAATGAAATGAAATTTATGAAATGATGCAAAGTAGTTAGCAAACTCTTAATACTGAGGAAGAAACCATATTGCAGTAGGAACAGATTAATTTTAGCCTCTTCCTATTTTTTCCCAGTCTTTCCTAGGACTTCTATTGTGCCAGTGATGATTCTTCTCCAGTAACATTTTCTTCAGTGGCTGAAAAGACATTTTCCTTTAAAACTGATGCTCCATAAAAGTTAAATTGACTTTTGTTTACCCAGATCAGTTCAACCCTGTTTCTAAAATCTTGCAGTGCAAATCTACTGTTTTTTTTTTGGTAGGGGGGAAAGAACTGGGCATTAAACCAGAGTGTAGCCTATGAATTAAAGTGTCTAATGCTGGTTTATATGAGCCAAGCATAGGAAAACTTCCAGCTGCCAGCAGCACTCACTTGTTCTGCTGTCCTCAGACACAGGAAGTTTGGTGTTGGCTCAGATACTCCAGGTAAATGTTCTTCTTCACGAATAAACCCTCCCCTTATTCCTTGAAAGAAGATCTTACTTGAACTTCTTGCCTTTTAGAGTTGTGGGCATAAAAGAAAAGCAGGGATAGAGTGAGTTTGGGAATGCTGTGGCAGGTGAGAGCCCCAGAGCCTGGCTCTAACACCAGCTGGAACACAAACACTTTACAGGGGCACAGCGTGGTGTTCCTGGAGGGAAAAGTTTCTCTTATGGAATATTAACTCTACAGAAAGAAGTTTTGTTGAAATCTAGGAAATGTTTCTTCTTTATGGAGGATTTTTAGTGTGGTTTTTAGGGAAGGTAGATTGCTGTCTGTAGGTGAATATTTTAAGTGTTGTGTAATTTAAGAGGCCAAATACAGTTTCCATCCTCCTTCATGGTTAACTTGATATATTCAGAATATTTTAAGGCTTTTAGTCCTTCTCTGACACCTTTCTTTTGTTTTGGAATGTTGTGTAATATTGGAAATGAGGGGGAGCCAGGAGAGGGGGAAGTGCCTGCAAAATGGCAACTCTCTTGGCTTGTCTTCATGGTGATGAGACTTAATGAACTACAGGAAGAGATGGAAATTTTGTTGGCAGCTGGATAAGAGCAAAGCTAAAAATTGTCACATCTGATGATTATCTGTGGAGCAGAACATAAAAAACCATTAGGGATAGAAATCTGGAACAGATGCAGGGAGATTACACCGATGTCCTGGAATGTTAAATTTGTCTGGAAGAATAAGTAAAGTAGAGAAAAAGTTCTTTTCAGTCGAGGCACAGCGCTTATTTTTCTGACTGAAGCACCAGGTACTCTGTGTTGGGATGGCTTTGGCACATCTTTTGGGAAGGTATTTGTAAAACATCATGGAAGCAGTTTGTGCAGAAGGCCAGCTACATTACAAAGTCAAGTAAGGTCAGGGCTGTCAAAGGATCAAGAAATATAGAACGTATAATAATGCAGCAATGGTTCGTGAAGTGATTAATTTGTATTTTATTTTCCCCAAAGTGTCTTTACCGAAGCCTTAGAAAATGCTCACTTTTAAAATACAGTTCAGTCTTGATTTTTCATGGAGTTTGACTTGGGAGTAACCAACCCCTGCACAGGAGCTCACATAGACAAGAGGTGGTGAACTCCTGTCCCCCCTGGAGTCAAGGACAAAACTCCCATCAGCTTCCATGGGGCCAGGATTTCCTTCCCTATGTTGCCCAGCGTGTGGAACAAACCCAGTGGCCTCAGGGATTTTTTAATATGCAGCTGACTCAGTGGAACAAAAAGTGTTTGACTTGTCTGACACTTGGGTAAAATCGTGATTGCACTGAACTTTCTCTGGCCAACTGCATTGTGGAGGTCTCTTAAGGCTGTGACACAAAAAACAGGCCCCCAAATTGGTGAAAATCAGATAATTGCTAGTGAAAATTTGTTAGGAAAATAGAGGAAGGTTTTTTTCCAGGGTACAGGGAAAACAAGCGGTAAAACGAGCTCGCCAGATTTTTGGCTTCCATTTTTTTCATGCAAAGAAAAAGCAGATGCTCAGGAAAGGCAACAAAACAGCTGAAGGTGGGAATTGAAAGCTGGGAGTATGACAGGAAGGTTAAATCCATTTCTCCAGAATCTACCTCCACATCCAGTGCTGCTCAGAATAATTCCTGGTACTGTTTTCTTCCCAAACTCTGTTAATCCTTGATGGCAGCAGCTCTGTTTAGCATTACATTCCCCAAACCCTTCTCCAGCAGTAAGCCCCACTTGCTGGGTGGCTCCTGGCTGCTCCCAGCAACCAACAAAGTCTTCTGGACTCTGGCATGTGTGTCTACTTTAGAGGCTGAAAACTTCACTGAGGGTCTCCTTCCCTCTGCCTGCCTGAGCAGCAGAGGGACCTGGGAGCAGAGCCCAGCAGGGTTTAGCCCCTGATCTTGGCTAAAACCAGGAGCATGCCCCAAACTTAGTTTTAGTGGGGCACAGGGAGCTGTCTGCAGCAGTTTTCCTGCATTTTTAGCTAAGTCAGCAGATGGTTAGTGCTGTGCTCTGTGCTGGGCTTGGCCTGTCCTTCCATCCCCACAAAGCACACAGAGACTGCTGTGTGCCCCAGGCTCCACCATGGGATCCCAGGGAGGACTGGATCCAAAATTCCCCAGCCCTGGAAGCGTTCAAAGCCAGGTTGGATGGGGCTCTGAGCAACCTGGGCTGGTGGAAGGTGTCAGGACGGCTGCAGTGAGATGATTTTTACATCCCTTCCAACCCAAACCATTCAGTGATTCTATAAAAATCCTCTTTTACCATACCTGTGTTAGAGCACCAAAACTTTTCTGCAGAAAAATCGTGCAACAGTCTTAAGGTTGGAGCTTTCAGGACCACAGAAATCAGGCTTTGACCTCAGAGTTTTCCTAGCCCAGCACACTGATTCACTCAGGGGCCAAATCCTGCTTCCTGTTTTCCCCCAACAGACTCATTATCCCGCTTGACTCTAAATCAGGGATGGGTGGAAAAGGCTCCAAGTGCCAACCACTGCCTTCAGCTGGGCTTAATCACTTTCCCTGCATGACACCCAGATGATCAGAGGAAGAGATTATCAGCCACTTCCATTAGCCAGAGAAATCAGGAGAGGGATTTACCAGGAAAAACAACCGAGTTCACTACAACACACAAGATCAACTCAGATATTTCCTTCGCTGGGATGTTAAATTTGCTTAATGAGCCTTGTCAGTAAATCAAGGTTTAGCCCTGCCTGCATAAGAAACTCTTCTCTGCTGTTGTTCTCTACTTCTTTTCCATCACCTGAGCACCTTCAGTCGTGATTAAGTGGCTGCACAGCCTGAAAGGGAACAGATTTTGGTACCTGATTGGAAACATCCTTAAAAAACCCCAAAAAATCCCATTCTTTCACTTGCAAGAAAAAGCTTTTAACCATAAGGTTCTGGGAGAGCTAGAGCCACTGTTAGGGAAAATTGCTACTTAAATAAACAGACGCGTTTTGTGGCAAATCCTTCCCCAACATCCTGGAATTTTTTTTCATTAAAAGAGGGACAGTACCTGCTCTGGATGTTTTTCAATAAAAATAGCCTTGGAACCACCTGTCCTCTCAGGGGGATAGTCAGGAAACCTGCCTGTGATATGCCTGTGGGAGAAACAAAAGTGGAAGAGAAATTAAAATTCATAATTTTTCACCTGGTTGATAAAGATTTTGGATAGTGGGGAAGCTTCTTACTGCAGCGTTTTTTGTCCTGTAAATTAATTAAGACATTTACCAATCCTTGCCTCTTACCCCGTGGCCCAACAAAAACTGCAAATTCTCAGGGAAATTCCTAGGACTGCAGATTCCTCCCTAGCTGAGAGATGTAGATTAAAGTGTTTATACCTGGAAGTGCCCAAGGCCAGCTTGGACAGGGCTGGGAGCAATAATGGGAGATGTCCCTGCCCATGGCAGGGGGTGGAATGGGCACCTTTAGGTCCTTTGCAACCCAAACCATTCTGGGAATGGTTATTAGGTTATTTTACATTATTTTATATTCATAGCCCAACTCTCTGCTTTTAACATCTAGCTCTTTTTTTTTTTTTTTCCCTCTTAGAGAAGATTTATTTTGCTTAATTCAGAATTTAATCTCTAAGTTCCAGAATGTATTTCCATGTCAGGATTACCACTCCTAAATTTCCAATGGACTTGATGGTGATGAAAGCTGGGAAGGGGCAATGAGTGACTTTGTGGGAAGGTTTCATGGATAACACAGGGAGCTTCCAGACTTTTCACAAAGAGATTAAAAGATACCAATAGGAACTTCAGCCCAAAGGCTGTTTATACTGATAAAACCCTTCAACTTCTTTCCCTTTGGTTGCTTGGTGGAATATATGTGTAAGATTTTCTGTTTGTTTGGTAACATCAGGAAGATTTTTCTGTTCCAAAGAAAATTCTGTCAGTGCAGAAAGCCCTCGTGCTACTTTCAAACAGCACAGTTATGTTTCCTCTAAATGAAATTAAATTTCCCTTGAGAAGAAAAGAGCTCAGAGAGGTCAACACTATTCCTAAAAATGTTTTCATTTTTTTTTAAACAACTGGTACCTTAAGGGACTTTCCTAGGCTGCTGTTAAGCTGCAGGCTCAGTTTTAAGCTGAGATCCTTGGAACAGAGCATCTGTTCTGTTTCTGTAGCACCACATGTAGGGTTTGGATCTCTTGCTGGTATTAATGCAACACCAATTAGGACAGAATCAACAAACATTCATCTGTGCTTGGGAGCTCTAACTTGTTCAATAGTTACAAGTTCTAGATGCAAACAGATGCAAATCCTTGGTCACTGCATTCCCAGAAACCAGCCTGCATCAACAGAGGACTGTCATTGTTTTTAAAAACCCATTAAGAATGGGATTTTGGCCTCAAAAACCCTCCATGATCTATTATTTAACGTTAGCTCGTGTTCCATTTTTTACAGCCAGCCAGAAAATAGCTCAATTTTATGTTAAATGCAGCTTTAAATGCTACTACAAATCTGGTTACAGTAAAAAAATTCCCAAAATCTGTTATTGAGGCTGTTGCTACTTCAGTGCCAGCTGGGAGGAAGGAAAGGCAAATGCACTGTGGGTGAAGAATCAGCTGGGAGCCCACTGAACATGGTATCAGGGCCAGCTTCCAATATTTAGTAAAGTTACATTTGGTATTTGTACTCCCTTTTTCACTTTTAAATCATTTACAGCTCTTGGAGATGGTGGGTGGTTGGAATGAAATTATTTCTAAGGTTCCCTCCAACCCAAACCATTCTGTGATATTTCCCTTTGGGTATGCATGATGAGTATATCTGAGTGCTGCAGAAATTCTACCATGTTCTGAAATTGGGAAGGGCTTTCCAGTTTATAATCTGTATTTTCTGTGTGGTTCTCCTCCTCTGAGCTGTCTGGGGTGATGTGGCTCCTCTCACCTTTTTTGGTAGCAACTTCAGCAGGTGCTTATGTAAAAAAAAACGAGGTGAGGAGAAGACAATGCCCATCTTTCCATGGAAAGAGGGTCAGGCATTTACTAAGCAGTCAGGGATAGATGGGATTTCCTGGTTGAGGGCAATGCAAGGTGTGATTTTACGTGGCCATCAGCGACCTGAGGGCAGTGAGCACCAAACATTTTTGATGTTCTAATTCTTCCAGGGCATCTGCTTTTTTCTTGAGTGTGTCCATTGCTGTCTGATGGTCTGGAAGCAGCACTCTTAACTTTTATTTCCCTTCCCACCCTGTTGTGGGTTTTCCCCTTTGTCTTCTAGGTTGAAATGACCACAATTTCAATCTTGTAATGCCTGGGAATTCACATGCGTGACCCCAGTAGGCAAATTCCTCCCTTTATGAAACCCTCCGAGTTCAGAGGTTAAACCAGGGATTCTTTTGGCCTGTAAATCTGCCCAGAAAAATGCAGCCATTCATCTTCCTGCTCAAAAGTCCACTCTAAATGCAATGAATCTCAATTTTCATTCCCACTTCACTTTCTGGCAGCGTTCTGCTCAGAGCCATCGCAATGGGTTGTCTCGTGCATTTGTCTTAGGATGTTAATTTGGATTCAGCTGGACCTAAATCCTTTGGTTTGCAGTTGGAAACACCAGGATAAAATGAGCAATCAGAGAAGCTGTGGCTGCCCCCCATCCCTGGAATTGTCCCAGGCCAGGTTGGATGAGACTTGGAGCAACCTGGTTTAGTGGAAGATGTGGGGTGGGACTGAATGATCTTCAAAGTCCCTTCTTACCCAAATCACTCTGTAATCTTAAATTCTTGTATCTTTGTGCCATCAGATAAGCTACACATCATCTGTGGCTCAAGAGGGTCCCACCAGACATGTCCCACGAGCAGCTCTTGAATTAAGAGGAGGTCCCAAACAATGTGGGGTGATTTTGGGCTTGCTTCACAATATTATTTGTTCAAATAATTTTTAACTGCCTTCCCCTTTTGAAACTTCCTAGAAATACTGAAGTGTTGATGATCAGAGGCAATAACAGGGTAAGAAAACGAACCCAGATGATGCAAGGAGTTGCTCCCAGCTGGAGCCCCAGCAGGCTGCTTTGTTTTGTGGGAAGTGTGGAGGGGAGCTTGGTGATGGGAATCCTCCCTGGTTCCACTGTTGATGGTGGGAGGAGAACGTAAAAAGCTTAAGCTCTTGATAACAGGAGCATTAGAGTGTGTAATATATTTGAAAGACATGGTACATGTCAGAGACACCTAGATCCAAGTCAGAACTCTGTGAATCTGTTACTTATTACTGTCTCAGCATTTGCAAGGGGAAAAAATATCCAACGGTACTTTCCAGCGTCTCATAAAAATGTGTAAATGCCAGAGCTGGAAGAAGCAACTCTTATTTCCAGTGTGATTGCTTCAGTGGGAGTGCTGACAATGTGTTAAGCACTGCAAGCAAAAGCAGAAGCAAATTGTCCCAGATTTCTTAGGGAGGATGCAATTCTAGTAAAACCAATTGCCTAAAGGAACAAATGAAGTTTATAAAATCGCATGGTGGACTGAACAGAAGTGTAAATAAGGTGAGAAGGAAGGACATGGCTAGGAAGAAACCTCCCCCTTGTGAGACAAACCCGAGCAGCAGCCTGGGGAGGCCCTTACAGCCTCAGGAGCCCAAAGGCTGCAGGCACAGAGCTGAGGTTGGCTCCTGTGGGTGACCTGCTCCTCGTTTTCTGTTCCCAGGCACTGAGCAGCAGCCTGTGCTTGGGAGCTGTGCTTGCACTGCTGCAAATAAAAATGAGGAGTGCTGGAGTTCACAGCAGGGAAAAAGATCCTTCTTTGGGTCAGAGCCACTGCTTTAACACAACTGCTAAAGGTGTCTGTCCTGAGGAGGATGCTGTTGAAGAAGGGACCTTTAGAAATTGTGGTATGTGAGAAATCCATTAATTTCTGGAAAGCAGTGAAATCCTGTCAATGGAAGTAGAGCATGGGTTTGGAAAGCAGCTTTACAGAAAAGCCATCTAATTGGGATGAATGGGGGCCCTAAATCTGAATCAAAGCAGCTCAAGTGGAAGAGTAAAGGGATGAACAAGGATGGAGGGGTGAAAAGATACGATCTTGCACTCCCAGCTGAAAATGAAAAGGATGTGATGAGGTTTTTGTGCTGTTTCTCAAATTACATTATGTTCTCTGGTTCACTGTTACTACTCCAAACCTATTCCTCTTACAATAACTCAGACCTGTCAAGTGTAATTGAAAAAGAATGATCTTTTATGGTCTGCAGTGCAAATCCTTTTGTCTCTGATCTGTAGAAAAGAACTCTGGCTCTTCTGGGCTTGATATTTGTACAGCACAAACCTCATATAAATGTCCAAGTTTGAACTAGTTTCAAATGGCTCTGTAATGTCTCCAAATGACCACCAGACTGGGACAAGTCGGTGTGATTGGCAGGCTCTGCTCAGCCCTGGCTGCTGTGGCACCTCCATTCTCACCTGTAAAATAAATTCTTTCTCTGGGAGATGACCCTGCATTGTGCTTGTCTCATCTGCTGCTTCCTCCCTTCCCTGCTTCAGGAGCTTCAAATTTATTTTTTTTAAGTGTTTTCTCTCTATTCCACATTGCTCAGGGATGGTTATAGTTAGGGCTAAATATGGCTTTTGATTTATGAGAACACACCATTGATTTAAACATTTTGTCTGGTAATAGACTCAACAAGTTCCTACCTACTCTGTTCTCTGGCGTGGTTTTACATGTGTTATTCTTTCTTTTTGGCTATGGCTTCTCTAGCTAATTGCATAAAAGGCCTTGTCAGGAAAAATAAATTGTTCTTTGGAGGAACAGGAGTGTTTAACTCTTCTCAGGGGATGAAAGGATGTGGGCTGTGTGCAGAAGAGGAGGCATGAATGATGGTGTAGGCTCTGAGTGGAGGGACAGAGTGGTGTTCTGTGCAGAAAAGGGACATGAACAAACAGGGGGGAGCTCTTTAAAGAAATAAAACCCTCATCAGTTTTGTAATTCTTGCCTGTTTCTGTAATCCCACCTGATATGGATTCTCTAAGACTGCTTAAATAGCAGTGCTGGTTTATTTTAGGTGTCTTTGTAGTGGTGCTTTTTTTTTTTTTTTTTCCCCTTTTGTGTGTGTGTGCTCTCTTTAGCTCTTTGAAAATCATTTCCAGAAAAAATAACCTGGGCAAATACAGAA